CCGGATCCCCAGGGCTCAACAGCAGGCCCAGCAGAGATGGATGAGAGACGACCGCCGCCGCCCGTGCAGCAGGGGGCTCAGGGGGCCTTGCGGGCTCTCGGCACCTCCCCAGCACCGCACAGGTCAGGCGGCGGCTTGCCGGGCGCTGTTCCTGCAGCACCGCTCGCTTGTGAGAGCACAGAGAACCGAAAGGGTGGCGACGGGCCTGAGTGTTCACCTGCAGGAGTGGCTCAGGGATGCGGACTGGACAGACTGGGTACAGTCGAAAGGCAGCAGCGGGTCCTTGCACCCATCTTGAACAGGCAAAAAAAGTTGCAGAAAATGCAGCGCAATAGCTTTAGATTTCACGTTGTTTTCCAGAAATACTATAATTTTTAAAAATAAAGATTTACTTGTTTATTTGAAAGGGTACAGTTATATATATAAAAAGATACAGAGAGAGAGAGAGAGAGAGAGAGAGAGATCTTCCATCTGCTGGTTCACTTCCCAAACGGCTGCACTGGCCGGGGCTGTGCCAGGAGCTCCATCCGGGTCTCCCATGTGGCCAGCAGGGGCCCGAGCACTTGGCCATCTTCCGCTGCTTTCCCAAGCTCATTAGCAGGCAGGTGGATTGGAAGCAGAGCAGCCGGGACTGGAACTGGCGCTCATATGGGATGCTGGCGTCATGGGCTGTGGTTTAACCCACGGCGCCACAATGCTGGCCCCAATACTGTAATATCTACAGTAAAGGCACATGGACACACAACCATGGCATTGCATTACACGAATGCACATCTATCCATATGGAGCTGCACAGCAAAAAGCCTTCCATGGCACACACACAACACGGCCGCAGCTGGTGACTCGTAGGCCAGGAAGTGAGACTGAATTGGGTGGCCGTGGTCAGCAGCACGCGGGCCAGTGTTCCAGGTTCCGTAACTGTGCATTTATGGTTCACCTGGTGACTGGAAACTGATCTGCGTTAAAAACAGACACGGGGCAGGCATGTGAGCCAGTGACGAAGGTGCCACTTGGGACACCTCGTGCCTTTGTCAGAACGCCTGGGTTCAAGCCCAGATTCCTGCGAAGGCACAGCACGAGAGAGGGGAGGGGACGGCTCCGGGGCTTCGGGCCGGGCCTGTGTGGAGCTCCCGGCTCCTGGCTTCAGCCTGGCCCAGGCCCTGCTGCCGTGGGCTCTTCCAGAGCAAACCAGAGAGTGGGGGCTTAATTTCTGTCTGTCTGCTTTTCAGATACTTCAAATGTAAGCACACACACTACATGCATGTACAGCCACACATGTGCAAATACCACACACACCACATGCAACCACGCGTGCACACACAAGTGTGCCCATGCCTGTGCACACACCCCGCACATGCGCACTCACAACCACATACGTGTGCAATACAACAATGCATGCACAACCACACGTGTGCATACACCACACATGTGTGCACACACACTGCCCACGGAGGAAAGAAGGGGCGCTCCAGGCAGGGCGCCAGTGTGGACAGGGGCTGTGGGCCACCGGGGCTCAGGGAGCAGCGCCCTCGCTCATCATCAATCACTTGTCTTGCAGAGGCTCTGGCTCCGCCTTCCCCCCATCACTCCCCGTCCACCTCCCATGCGCCATGGACGCCCTGGTGACCGAGGACAGACGGGTCCCACTAATGCCCAGGGAACGCCGGAGCAGCCTCTGAGGGCTGACCGCAGGACTCTGAAGGCAGCCAGGCCACGAAACAGGCGGGGGGCCTCTGGGCTCGCCCCTCCTCGCTCATCCAGAATCGCAGCCCTCCCCCCGGGTTGCTGCCACACCTTCCCCCACTGGTCTCCTGGTTCCCACTCCACCCTGACCCACTCTCACACGCACCCTGAAGGATCTGGTCAACCCACAAGGTCATCCGTCCTCTGCTCAAACCCTGCCCCGTTCCCTTCTCACTCAAGGTGGAAGACAAAGTCCCTCCAACGGCCCACGGAGCATGCACGGTTGATGCTGATCATTGCTCTGGCCTCATCTGCCCCACTCATCTCCTGCTCCACCGGCCTCCTCACTGCTGCCCCAGGACCTCTGCACTTGCTGTTTATTATCTGTGCCAGCCTCATGTCCACCAGCTCCCTCCCGTAGGGTCTGCGAGGGCAGGGTTTCCTGTGCTGTGTGGGAGCAGCTGGAGCTGCAGCTGCACAAACACTGGCTGAATAAATGAATGAACATATGAATGAATGAGTGAAGGAGGGAAGGAAGGGGGGGAATTTCTATAGGAGAGACCTCTCTAACCAGCGGGAGGAGGAGACGACGGCCGGGCAGGGCCTGGAGGGAGACTGGGCAGGCAGAGCGCACGGAGCAGACCCACACTTCTCAGCTGAAGCCAAGGGAGAGAGGGCAGGGGCTGGGCCCGGAAGTGGAGGGGGCAGGGGACAGACACCTGGAGCCCCGTGGCCCAGGGCAAGGTATTCCGATTGTATTCTATCCTTTGGAAAATGCAAAGTCCTTAGCAAGCTGTGGCTCATTCCACTGCATCGACTCTACAAAGTCAGTGGAGTAATTATTCCCATTTAACAGGTGGGGTGAGTGAGCCCCAGAGAGCTCAGAGGCGGGGGCGGCTTCCTGGGCCTGCGCTCCCTCCAGAACCCCCTGCAGGCCTTGGGCCTCACACTTGCCTGGGGTCCTCCTTTGAGCTGGATCCTTTAAACCACTCAGCAAAGGGCGTGGCCCACAGGGAGGGCAAAGAGGCCAGGCATGACCTGGCTGGCGGCGAGGCCTGAAATGGCTCGTGGGGTCCCCGCAGAGACACGAGAGCTCACCCCACCTCCAGAGCCAGACAATGCGTGCAGCCCTTCCCCACCGGCCCCACCTGCCCCGAACTTGGGAGCAACCATGACCTTCCCCTGGCTTGCTACACGGCTCCACCCCTGGTCCAATGTCCCCGACAAGCCGGAGTTGCAGGCCCGGGCCTGCTCGCAGGTTCCACGGCCGCGGGACCCCTGGCTCTGCAGGCTCTTGGCGCTCAGCAGGCAGGGACTGAGCAGGGGTCTAGAAGTGGGAGCTGCAGGGCCGGGGACGTGGCACGGGTAAAGCTGTGATGCCCGTGTCCCACATCTGAGTGATGGTTTGAGTCGCGGCTGCTCCACTTCCAGCCTCCTACTAATGCCCCTGGGAAGGCAGTGGAAGACGGCCCACATACCTGGGCCCCTGCACCCACGTGGGAGACCCGGATGGAGCTGCTGGCTCCTGCTCGGCCTGGCCCACCCACAGCTGCTGTGGCCACTTGGGGAGTGAACCAGCAGATGGAAGACCTCTCTCCCTTTCTCTGTCACTCTGCCTTTCAAATACACAACTAAAACCAAAAAAGACGTGGGAACCCCAGAGCCAAACTGCCCGCGTGTGATTCCTGTGTGAGATGGGCTCCCAGCCTAGCAGGGAGACACAGGTGAGTGTTCCGACGAGGAGCTCACTTCTGGAGTGAGACTGCCCAGGTTCAAACAGCAGCGGCCACTTAGCTCTGCCACCCCCCTCAAGCTGCTTCCTCCCATGCCTCAGTTTCCCCGTGTGTGAAGTAAGTCCACAGCGTTGTGTCAGTATTCACTCTAACGAGCTGATGCACACAGCCAAGGCTCGGAGGAGGAGAACGAATAGGACTCACGTGGTCATGACCGGCGCCTGACACCAAGTATGTGCTCAGTAAAGCTCAGGACAAGAGGAGCAGCCCAGGGGCTCATCCCGGGGCCGGCCGCCCTTAGCTCTCACAGGCAGCAGCCATTGTCAGGTTTCTCCTGGCATTGTCAGGAGAAACCCAGATTTCGGCACGAATCCTCCCAGTGTTCATGAGCCCACTTCGACTTCCAACACAGTGTCAATGAATCCAGGCCACATGTCAGGGCCAGGCGTGGCTGTGGCTGCCTGTCTGCAGCTATGGTTCTGAATCTTTGATTCGGAGGCAGGTGACAACGGAACAGGTGTCACCAGGTGCTAAGCACAGCCTCACGTGATCCTCACCATGCACACTCCGTGCAGTTGGTCGTTCTCATGCCCCCATTGGACAGGTGGGACAACTGAGGCTCACTGCCTGAGCCTGCGTGGCTGGGTGCAGGCTCGGATCCCCCTCTGGGTTCCCTTTCTCATTGCTGCCGGCTCCGAAACACAGAGGGTCTTAAGACGACGGGGGCTCCTGCCCAGACAGGACAGGATGTTTCTGAAGGGCCCAGCGGGTGGCTGGCACAGGAGGCTGGGGCCTTCCCTGCACCCAGTGTCGGCGCTGGAGCCGGGTCCCTCTTGGTGGGACCTTGTGGGGCGGGGGGGTTGCGCCAGCCTCTCAGCCAGTGCCGCGGGGAGAAGGCATGGCCGTGGTGACGGCGAGAGTGATTCACAGAAGCTGCACGCGGATTCCTCATGACATGGTGCCCCTCCAGTCACTCGTCCCTTGGGGGGTCTGTAACGCCCAGGCAGCATCTGTGCCCCAGAGTTGGCATCAGACACAGAGCAGGAGGGAGAAACACCGGGGTGGGGGGGTGGTCTCAGGACACCAGCACCAACCCCGAAGCCGGCGGGATAAAGGGTTAAGCCTGCTGTGTCAAGCCTGGCTGACTCGGGCTCCCCAGCAGCGCAAACAATAGCTGGGATTGTTCGGACCAGAACGAGTTGGGCGGCCTCGTGGGCCAGGAACGCCCGAGACAGCTCCCGCTCCGCTGGTTCCTGGACGCCAGCCCCACCCAAAAGCAAGAGTTCTGCCCTGCCACCCACAGCCGGCTGCGACCCTGGGGACATCCCCGATGGCTTCTCTCGCCCTTGGCGGGGGGTCGGGGTTTCTTGGACCTGGAGCCCAGGAAGGGAGCAGAGCCCTGAGCCACCCCCTTGCCCAATCAGAGGAGAGGCAAGGGCGCGGGTGATGCGTGCCCATGTGCCCACGTCTTGGTCCGGAGGCCACAGCTGCCGGGCTGCGGAGACTTGTCCTAAGAAGTGCGCCCGTCCCTTCCCGCGCCCCTGGGCCGCCGCCTGTCTGTCAGCACCCACGCCAGACGCCTACCTTCGTGGTCCCCGGGCGCCCGCCTGGAGGCGGCAGCGGCGACGGCTGTGCTCCCCGTGGGTGTATCCAGGCAGTGGCTGTTTACGGCGAGGCTGGGTGAGATCACTAGTTCTAGCATTTCCTTGTACCTGGAAAGAAAACAAACGGCAACATAATTTATTCCTTAATTACGCAGGCTCCCTGTCCCCAAGAGGGTGAGCAGCCAAGCTGATTACTCAAAGCCAGCCTTCTGATCCAGGCCACGGCATCGCAGCCCACGGAGCCGCTCAGCAAGGGAGCGGGACGGAAGCCGGGCCTCGCCCCCCTCCAGGGCACGCCCGCCCTCCCTCCCGCTGTGTTCCACCAGGGGAAATGAGGTTTGGGTCTCAGGGCGACAGCCCAGAGCAGGAGGGGACGGCCACTGCGGAGGGAGCAGGTGGATCCTCAAAGGCCAGAGGCTTGTGGGGGACTTGGAGTTGACCTCCATAAAGACAGGAAGATGGATGTGCTGTCATCTGCGCCGGTGGCCAAAGGCACCGGGGCTATTTGACAAGTCCCTTAGGGCAGCAACCCCACGGCCCCAACCAACACAGACAACCCCCGGTGGCTGGTTCACCCCCGACTGTGATCTGGCGTCACGGGGCAGGGGACGGCGGCGCCAGCTCCTCGGGCAGCTCCCTCTTGCACCAGCTCGGTTCCCCGCCTCGGCTCCCGTCCACTGTGGCTGTGAACTGGGGTCGCCGTGGAAGGCACGTGATGTGGGCGGGCTGGAAACGGGGTCTCCATGGAAGGCACGCAATGTGGCGTGGGCTGGGCTGGTTTTCAAAGGCTACGCTGCAGCCCCATGGTGACCAGCTACCCCTGCTTCCTCACAGACAGGCTACGTGTAGGCACGGTGACAGCATCACAAGGTCACATGCATGCTGTCACTGCATGAATAGAACCCCGGGGAAGCGATCGGTGGAGCAGGGTTTCGCCTCTGGCTCTGCCATGAAGGTCACAGATCAACCTTGAGTCAGTTACCAAACTGCTCGGAAGAGAAAGCTTCCTCACCCGGAAGGCGGGCCTTGTCACAAGGTCACGGGGAAGAAGCAGCGACCCCGAGTCCCAAGTGAGAAAGCTGAACTCCCACCCACGACGACGGAATGCCTGGCCACTGGCCACCTGCTCACGCAGTGAAATACTACACAGCGGTGAAAAGGACGGAACGGCCCTCCACACGGTGCTGCCAGAGTTGACCACAGAGGCAGAAGGGGGCCACCCCACCGAGTGGCCCTGTTTCTATGAAATTCAAATCCACAAATCAACATCACATACCGCCGGGAGACGCCGTCACCAGCAGCAAGGCGACGGCAGGTACAGGAATGGCAAGCGCCCATTTCAGATCGGCTAACTTGGGAAGGGGTGGGGGGCGGGTGGGGGAAGTGGCTCCCTGGGGTCCCCGCCTGTGTCTGTCGTATTTCAGCTCAAGCCAAGTCCAGCCAGTTGCCTATTTTCGTGTGAGCTGTGAACTCAGAATGGCTTTCAGGGTTTTAAACGGTTGAAAAACCATCCCAAAGAGGGTCCTACGCCACGCGGGGAAGCCGTGGGAGTCTCAGTGTCGGCAGCGAGGCTTTATCAGGACACAGCCCTGCTCGCTGTCCCGTCCACGGCTGCTTGCTTTTTTACTTATTTATTTAGTTGGAAGGCAGAGTGAGTGAGTGAGTGAGTGAATGAGAGACAGAGAGTCTTCCATCTGCTGGTTCACTCCCCAAATGGCCACAATGGCCAGAGCTGAGCTGATCCGAAGCCAGGAGCCAGGGGCTTCCTCCAGGTCTCCCACGCAGGTGCAGGGGCCCAAGCACTTGGAGCCATCACCTGCTGTCCTCCAGCGTGTGCGTAAGCGGGAAGCTGGATCAGAAGTGAAGGAACTCGAACCCAGGTCCTCAGATACAGGACGTGGTGTCGTATCCCCTGTGCCCAGCGCCAGCCCCCGTAGTGAGAGGAGCCATGTGATGCAGCCTTTTCCTCTGCTGAGAGAATATTCCCCACGTATCAGTTTTGGGGGTTTCTGTCCACAGATGCTGAGCCCCCCCATTCCACGTCCACGTGCAACCTCAGTGCCTTCCCCAGACGCCGTGAGCAGGCCAGGTGCTCTGCTCCTTCCACACACCCAGGCGCACCGCACTGCACCACACGGGGCACAGAGCAGGCACGCAGCTGCCGCCTGCTGCCACGTTTTGTCCCTGCTCACTCCCTCCGCTCTTCAGGGTAAGTGCAGATGATCACAGATGAAAAAGCAAGTGAGAGGCTCAACAGGCTAATCCTCCACCTAGCGGCGCTGGCACACCAGGTTCTAGTCCCGGTCGGGGCGCCAGATTCTGTCCCGGTTGCCCCTCTTCCAGGCCAGCTCTCTGCTGTGGCCAGGGAGTGCAGTGGAGGATGGCCCAAGTGCTTGGGCCCTGCACCCGCATGGGAGACCAGGAGAAGTACCTGGCTCCCGGCTTCGGATCAGCGCAGTATGCCGGGCGCAGCGGCCATTGGAGGGTGAAGCAACGGCAAAGGAAGACCTTTCTCTCTGTCTCTCTCACTGTCCACTCTGCCTGTCAAAAAAAAAAAAAATAAATAAATAAAAAAAAAATAAAAAAGCAAGTGAGGCGGAGAGACAGAGTGCTGGGCTCCAAACACCCAGGTTCTGTGGGTAGCAGAGGCAGCCAAATCCAGGTAAACACAGGGGAACTGTGTTCTCCGCTTCCTGTGGCTTGACAGTATTTGTAGTTGTCAGTATTTAAATGCTAGGCAATTTCACGTAAAACCTAGATTTGTGGAAGGTCGGAGAATGCTTTCACACGCTGTCACAGTGGCCATCAGCCAGGGCTGAACAGCAGTGGTTCGATGTAGTCAAAGCTCAAGGGCCCCAGTTTGCCACAGTCTCCACCACTCCCTAGCGCCTTACAGTTGGTGCAGTTCTGAATCCTCCTGGCCCCTGAGGATACCCTCCTTGAGATGCCCGATGGATGTACTGCCTAGAGCGCCTGTCACTTGCTTATTGATTTTAGCGAGCGTGGTTGTCACTGAGAGCTCACGGGGACCATCCTCGCAGACTTCACAGGAGAGCAGGGACCAGCTCGTGAGCTTTAACCCTGGGACAGACGACTGACGCGAATGCTTCTGGCGTATTCTCCTTTGAGCTCGAAGGTCAAGGCTGCGTGGAGCTCAGCTGCCACGTTCATTCTGCCACCCAGTGGAGGTCCACCAGATGGGAGAGGAGAGGGGCTGGGGGGGGGGTGGTGGTGGTGGTGAGCCGTGTGTATTTGAACGAGCGCCCTCCTCCACCAAGATGTTCATTTCCCACCTCCCCCCAGGCAGGGACTCACACGGGTTCGAGACGTCAGTCTGTCTCCTCGGGGAGGGCGCCACGTTGCCTGCTGCGTGGCCCTGATGTCCGTGCGTGCCACCTCCTCCTGGTCTCCAGGCTTGCTGTGGTCTTACAATGCACCCATGAGCGCCCTTCCAAAAGATGTGTGGACCGCAGCGTTTGAAACGCTCTGTGCCCGGATTTCTCACGCTACGCATTTTTCACGAACCCTTTGTAAGCCCCTTGAATGCCTGGATCTTACCATTTTTGAGCACCAAAGGAAACATAGCTGAGTTTTTCCACAAACTCTTCAACGTCCCCTCTTGGCCACAGGATGGACGCGCAGCATCCAGCCAGAATGGCGCAGGGCGTGCCCGCTCCACGGCATCTGCGCCTCGTTCCAGCCATGACCCCCGCCCCTCGTGGCCTTCCTCCCTCGGCCACCTGCTGAACAAGGCCGCCAGGACATCTGCATTCCTCTTCATTTAAAAATACATCCGCATACGTCCAGCCACATGGTGTTTTTAAAAACGTATTACACTTTGAACTCGTTATATAAGGAAGAGGACTCCTGTGTCATGGGAGACCTGCAACTGAACTTGACCAAGTACGAGCTGACCAAGTACGAGCTGACCAAGTACAGGCTGACCAGGTACTTGACCAAGTACGAGCCGACGGTTCTTCCTAACTCCTGAGCTATTTCAGCCTCCCCCAGACGCACACGAGGGCTCCAGTTTGTTTCCAGCTAGCACTCGGCACCGCCTATCTTTCTGATGGCTGGAAAACATCTCACAGCGGTTCTGCTATGTTTCTACGGGCACGAGTGCATCCGTGTGGCCCACACGAGTTTGGGAACTATTACTAGGCTTCCGCCCTGCCCACGTCTTCCCTCCCTCCCTGTCTCTTCCTGACTTGCTGGAGCGCCTTGTAGAGCGTGGATATCCCGTCCATTGTCAGTTTCAGATGCTGTGAAGTTCCTCACCGTTCCTTGATCTGCTCTCTGTATCTTTGGCGTCTTCTAGCTTGTGGCTGCTCCATTATTGAAGGGAATGAAGATACGGCATATTTTCAGGCTTCTCACCTGAACTCAGCTCAGGTGACGATGGAGAGCTTGCACTGATAGTCCACTGTCAGTACCATGCTCAGAAATAAAATCTAGAAAAATCATTTTAAGGCATTTGAAAAAATATTTATTTATTTGAAAGGCAGGATGACATGGGGTTTCGGAAGGAGGATTGAGATCCATCTTCAGTCTACTGGTTCACTCCCCAAATGTCCACAACAGCCAGGGCTGGGCCAGGCGGAGGCCAGGAGCCAGGAAGTCCATCCTGTTTTCCCACATGGGTAGCAGGGATCCACATGGGTAGCTTGGTTCAAAATCTTTTTTTTTCCCATCAAAGAAACCTGACTCGGGAGTCTCCACTCGGCTGGTTTCTGGGCACTGACAGGAATTGGTGCAGCTGCTACGTCCGTCCAAAATGGCGCCCGCTCTATTGCTTGTTGCAGGGTGATGGGGAGAGAGATACGAGGCTTTCTTTCCCTCCTCTAGTTTGGCTGGTAACTGTCCCCCTGGGGCTCCAAGCCTGGTTCCCTCTAGGCTCCTCCTGCAACGTTAGTGCCAGTGGCTTGGGCTGCTGTGGTCTGGTCTCACCTCACTCTCCAATGCTGGTGCGGAGGCTCCTGGCTGCTGGGGTCCTGAGCTGTGTGTGTCCTCGCCCTCCATATAGGTCCTCCATGTCCCTCTAATTTGTGTAGAGAGTTTCCTCTGCTGTTTTCTCCCTAACTCTTCCCTGAGACTGTCTTTTTTTTTTT